AACCACCAAGTTGTGAAGCTCAGAAAACTTGTTCACATCCACACATAAGAAGGAGTAAAATAAGAAAGTAACTGAAATTTCACAATGTTCATTTGTATGCCTTAATATATGATTTACTAAATGCCATCACACAAGAAAAATGCTGATTACCTTCCCAGCTTAATGTTAGTTGACACAACTAGAAATTCAAAATAAAATCCATAAGAGTGACACTTTCATTCATAGAAAAGAGCTGTTCAAAGTCCATTAATGAAACTTGAAATTGGAATGTCAGTAACAAAATGGAGACTGACTTTTCTGTTTTGTTTTGCCCTTCCATTCTTGTCCTTTCCTTGCTGTGACAACAGACCATAGACTAACACGGGTTGTGAGGCAATGCAAAGAATGTCAGTAAAATAAGTGCTATGCTGTGTTAGTGGCATATTTTTATTTGAAAATCAAGACTCTTTAATTTGGCAAAATTTATATTTATACTAAGATTTTTCAGAATCTTACAATATAGTGTAGGTCTTTCAGTACCTTCTAATTCAATATCAGTTTCTTAGTAATATATTGCTCCACCTGGTGGTAGAAATTTCCATTTTTTCAATACTAAAAGTGAGTTATCAAATTTTTATCTTTATTTAGTTAATATATAAAAATAAAAATATTTTCTAGGGTGACAAGTTAATACATATTAAAATATATTGAAATCATACTACACTATTCTATATTTAACTTTACCATGAATTAGAATTTGGGGACTGTATATAAATCATTACAGAGCATTTTTGCTTGACTTACATTATTGAGTTTATTATTCTTTTAAATATAAACTTAAACCATTAAAAGTGCCTAAATATTGATACTTTAATAACTATTTCACTTTCCTATTTATCAATGTAGTGTTTATCTTGTATTTCTTTTTATTAAACATCCTACATTATTTTATTGGAATTGATTACTCTCATTGATATTGATTAGGACCTAAAAGGTCATATTTAATACTTAATCAACTTAGATGCAATTGGTATGTGCATATCTTATCAAAGGAAATATGATTTATCATGCTCCATTACTCATAGTTCTCAGTTAAAACTCTACATCAGAAACTTCTGATATAAGTAGTTAATTAGTTACATATAATTGTAGTTTTCAAACTGCCAATAAATTATCTTTGCCTTTGAATTAAAAAGTTAACAGTTGGATTAACTATTTATATCTATATCTTAAAACAGGTTAATCTAATTATACGATTTACTGATTCCTCTGCTTTTGTAAATTATGTGTCTCTTATTAGGCATATTCCACCTGAAAGTCCCAGAGTCTTCTCCTATTGGCTCAGCAATTGGACGGATAAGAGCAGTAGATCCTGATTTTGGGAAAAATGCAGAAATTGAATACAACATTGTCCCTGGAGATGGAGGAAATCTGTTTGACATTGTCACAGATGAGGATACACAAGAAGGAATCATCAAATTGAAAAAGGTATATAGATCAATTTTTGGATTGTTGAAAAACTATATATAAAATACAAAAGCAGGAACAGTGATAGTTATTTTGTTCTTCAACTAGAAATACTTTACTTATGAAATATAAGCTCACACAATATATTTCTATGTTGACAGGTGTATGCCTTCAGTATAACATTAAGACCACTTAGTTTGTCCAAGTGATATTTTAAATTTCTTTATGATGTTAAGATTAAATTTTGAATGAGGTGTACAAAAGTTGTTTATACTTACATAGTTGAAATTATCAAATTGTAACTACTCAGAAAAAAACCACAAGTGCAATTCACATTATGCATAAAAGTTGGTTTCATTTTAATACCAGCTTGAGTAGATGAGATTGAGGAGAGAAAAGCTAGTGAATACTATAATCATAGTTTAACATGCTGTTCTAGTCAAAGCTTAAAGGAGAAGAGTGTTGTGATAAGGATGGATAGTTAAAAACCTGGCTTATGGGGTTTCACTGGTGAAAATGAACTGTGTCTGAAATTGGGCAAGGGCTTATTTTTGTGATATTTTGATCAGAAATCTGGCTTCAATCTGCCCATGTTCTAAGCATCTGAAAAAAGGTAAGATTTAGTGGAAGTAATAAGAAAGTGATGAGGGAATCTATAAACAGTAATGTAAAAAGACAGATGTTTGTAAGCTAAATAGAGAACACAAGTGGGGAAAGGAAGACATAGAGAACTATCGAAGGGCACGATGACAGACAGAGACAGCATAAATAACAGAGATGGCAAACAGCAGAATACTTAGTGCAAAGATTGGTGAGGCAGTGTGATGTTTAGTTTTATCAACTAGACACAAGATAGAATCACTCGAGAAAGCATTCTCTATGAGGGGTTCTCTAGTTTAGCTCAATTTCCTGATGTATCTATAGTGGATTTTGTTGATTGATATGGGAAGACTAGCTAAATATGGACAATACTATTCAATAGGCAGCAGATTTTAGATTGTACTAGTTTATAGAAAGCTGCTTGAGACTAGTATATGTTTGTATATATTGTTAATTAATCACTTTCTGTTCTTGACTGTGGATATTTTGTGACCAACTGCTTCATACATATTCTCTCTTGATTTCCTTGAAAATAGACATAACCTGAAGTTGTGAGCCAAGAAAAGTCTTTCTCTATTAAGTTGCTTTTTGGTAACGTCATTTTAATCTCAACGATCAAACCTGTGGAAACATAACTAAGTTATGGATGTATAAGTAAGAAAGAAACTGTTATGGACTAGTAGGATTATTGATGTGATGAATTCACTATGCAGAGATTAGTATGTAGGATTGTTTAATAGGAAGAATGTTGAAATGTTTAGATATTTGGGATAGAAACACCATTGAATGCTATAAAGAGATTTAAAATTACTTTTCTGTTAGAAGGTGTGGCTTTGTTGGACTAGGTATGGCTTTGTTGGACCAAGTGGAGGCAGGCTTTCAGGGTTCCTATGCTCAGGATAACACCCAGTGTCTCAGTTAAATTCCTATTGCCTGCAAGATGTAGCACTCTCAGCTCCAGCTCCATGTCTGTCAGTAAGCCTCCATGCTCACCATCATGATAATAATGACCTGAAACTGTGAATCATCACAATTAAATGTTCTCTTTATAAGATTGCTATAGTCAAGTTGACTCTTCACAGCAATGAAAACCCTAACTAAGACAAAGGGATTTATAGGGAGATTAAATAAAGCTAGGCACTCCCTGGCCAAGTTTGAGTCACCATAGTAAGGCACCCGATATGGGTTTCTGTAAGGGTGATGAAACACCATGACCAAAAGCAAGTTGGGGAAGAAAGAGTTTGTTTGGCTTATATTTCCACATCAGTGTTCAACATTGAAGAAAATCAGGACAGGAACACAAAGAGGCAGGAGCTTATGCAGAGGCCATGGATGGGTGATGCAGTCTGGCTTTTTATCATGGCTTGTTCAGACTGCTTTCTGATAGAACTTAAGACCATCAGCTGAGGGACAAGACCACTCACAGTGTGCTGAGGTCTTCCCTGTCAATCACTAATTAAGAAAAATGACTACAGTTGCTTATTATGGAGGCATTCCCTTAATTAATGTTTTCTTGCTTCAGACAAATAACTTTTGTCATGTTGACATAAAACTAACCAGTAAATGCCCTAAGAAGCCATTGAATGTGGCTGTGAAGGTAATATCTCAACTGTGGTGGAGGCAGCACAATATGAGATGCCAGGCTGCAGATGATCCACCAAGAGGGGTTGTAGATGTGGAACAGAACAAGCTTATGTTTAAGACAGAGTTAGGTATGCTCTAGGTGTAAGAGTGGAGCAATGGTACTGCCTAAGCTCTGAATCCTAGCAAATTACATTATAAGATCCAGTGGATGTCCTTTAGCTGCAAGGTTTAATGTTTTGCCTTTTGGATTTTTATTTCACTAAGGAATGATTATTATTTACAATTACCCAGTTCTTCCATCTTGAAATATGATTTTCAATCTGTGCTATCATAAGTTGGGAGTGTGCTATTTTTTTTTAATTTATGGTAGATTGTACCAAAGAGTTGTTGGAATTTTATAAAACAACTTTTATTGAAAATAAATTGCGTACAATATATTCTGATCAGCTCTTTCTCTCCATGTTTTCCCAGATTCTGCTAACCTCACTGCATTTCCAACTCCACACTTTCTTTCTCTCTAAAGAAACAGATAGGCAAAAAACGACAAACAAAGAACAATAACAAAGAGAAAAATAGTAACAGATAAAAAAGAAATGAAAAGAATGCAAGAAAGGAGCAGCACACAGAAAATATACACACTCGTGTTTGTGTGTACACATACCCACACCCCCACACACACACATAGAAGCATACCCTCCACAAAGAGACATCCACTACCCAACTCACAGAAGGATATACACTGACCCAGAAACACACAAAAATTCATAAAAACACAAAAAACTATATAATACAAGTAAATGACAAGTAAGAAATGTTTTAAAATGTGTGCATGAAAAAAGGAATATGAGACAAATCTTCAAAAATAAAATACTATTGAGATAATATTCTGTTGGCCAAATACTGCTGGGCATGAAACACTTAAGTGTGGTTAGTATACCTAGTGACACTCCGTTGGAGAACCTCATTTTACTTTGAAAGAATTTGTTAATTGGAGTTCGGTTCTTGGTTGGAATGTGTACTCATATACTTCCCCATCTCAGTAATGGGACCCTATCTGGTTTGGATCTGAGAAGTACATGTGTATGCTGTCACAATCCCTGAGAGGTCACAATTGTGTCAGTCCTCTTCTCTCTTGGAAGACACCATTTCCTTGGTATCACCCACCCCTCTATATTTTATAATCGTTTTCCCTCCCCTTCCACATAGTTCCTTAAAACTCTGACCAGAGAGATTTGATGAACTTGGTTCCTGTTTAGAACCAAGTATTGCAAGATCTCTCACTTTCTGTACATTTTCTGGTTGTGGGTCTCTGTTTTAGATACTAGCTACTTCAGAAGAAGTATCTCTGATGATGGCTGCATGCGATACTGATCAATCAGTAGGTATAGCACAGTATTTCTTGGAGCTATTTCATTCCTATGTGCCTTTAAGAACATATGATATCTAGTTTCTTGTATCTTTCTATAATGGATCATTATTCACTGTGATGACATTAAAATAATTATCTAAAAATCAAATTTGTTGCAATAAATTTTACTATATCATAACTAGACATATATGGAGCAGGTACTGAATCCTAGATTTGGAAGATCAAGCTGAAATAGATATGTTCTTTGTACTAAAGCAGCCTCTAGGAGTTTGGGGAAAGGGGCAGACTTGATAGTAATAAAAGGTAGAAGGACATACATTGCTGTAAAGTGTCAATAAGCATGTAGAGAGCAGGGTGTTTTAGAGAATTTGTGGAGAAAGACTTCTAGCTAAAGGAGGCGATATTAACACTGCGGTATCTGAATAATGTATATTCAAAGGAAACCCCAGCAGTAATATCTCCAAAAGTTTCTGAGGATTTAAAATACTGGGAGAGAGAGAGAGAGAGAGAGAGAGAGAGAGAGAGAGAGAGAGAGAGTAGCTTCAGGATGCTGGTAGGAGATAAGACCCAAGAAGAGGATGAAAGCCACACACATGGTAAGACTCTGAATTTGAGTTCAGACTAAATCGCTGTCATGGGCCCAGAGATCAGACACTCAGCTTGCTTTGATGATAATTGAGAGTGACAAGAAAGGATAGAAAAATACCCTAATGAAGATACCACAGACATAATTCGCAGAGCTGGTGTGTAATTGGGATGGACACTCACAGACAGTACAGTGAGAACTGAAGATGGTCTTACACTTTTAAGGTACTCAGATTATCTGGGAAATATATCAAATATTTGAGTAATTATAAAAATTACACCTAAAATAAAAAAATGCAACAGACTTTGCAAGAAAGGTTAAAATTATATAATCTCTCATTAATTTGCATTGTGTGGAAATAGTTTTTTCAATTATACACACTCATAGATACATTTCTTGATTAAAACTGCTGCTATTGGTTATTAAGAAGATAATAATAAAACATATACAGGGGGAAAACTTATGAAAACTTCAAAATTAACTATCAACATTCATTTTTTTTGCTTGTTTTTTTCTTATGTTAAGAAACTTCCCCATGATCAAAGGCAAGGGAAATTTTAATATAGATCTCTTTGCTCGAGGGACAGTATTTTACTTTTATTATTTATTTAATAGTAATTCTTTCCTCATATATGAATTCTGATCATATTTTACACTCTGCTTGACTCCAAATCCTTTCCTTCACCCTGTTACCTCCTCTCTCCTCCAGATTCACTGCTCCTTTATTTCCCTACAGAATAGGGCAAGCCTCCAAGCAATATCAACCAAACATAGCATAGTAAGCTGCATTAAACTAAGCACATCTCTTCATATTAAGGATGAATGGATGATTCAACCCAGTGGGAGGAAAAGGGTCCAAATAGTAGGCAAAAGAGTCAAACA